TTCATAAGGAATTCTTGAGGGGTAGAAGCATATTTACCAGCTAGGAAAGCAAAGGTTCAGGCAAGTCCAGTAACCAGCACTTCCAGGCAGAGCTGCATTAGAGCTCAGGAGTCAGCTCTCTTCTCCACAGAGTATGTCTGTCCCAGAAGGTTGCTCACCCTGCCCCTGGGTCACTGAGGCGGTCCATGGTGAGTCTCAAATGGGAATACAAGAAACAGGCTGCTCACAGGCTTAGCCCTGACCCAGCAACACCTCCCATGCAAAAGAATCGGGGGGAGGGGCTTGCTCCTTGGTCTTCGTTCTATCTTGGGGTAGGGATGAGGGTGGAGGTGAGGGTGAGGTGGAGGGGAAAGGTTCTATTCAGACAAATAGTAATTTTGTGACTCCTACCAGACCAGGTACTTTGGTCCTCTCTCAAATGACAGGAATTTTAAAACAAAAATGTCATGAAGGAAAAACAGGAGAGAAAATGGCAAAGATCCATGCCCTCCTCTGACCTCTACTTCCCACATTTGTCCTTATTCTCTGGAAAAATGTTAAAATTATTCCCATAACCTCAGCTGGCCCAGGGCAGAATCCAGCCCCAATCTGCCCCTTCACTCCCTCAGGGAATGTACACTCAGCACCTACAGGTGCTTCCAGGGGCTCTGTGTCAGGTACTATAAGTGACAAAGATGGCTAAGGTACCTCACAGCCCTCGAGGAGTGTAAGGACAGTGGAGGAGGTAACGAATAGGCAAAAGCAATTGATATTGGAGGAAGAACAGTATCTGGTTCCTGGGAGCAGCCCAGACAGGGCTGAGGATGCTGGGGACCAAGAGGCCATTCCCACTCTCCCCTCTGCTAGGCACCAAACCCAAGGTCACTTAACCACCCAGACCAATATGAGTTCTGGGAAGAATTTCCCCTTGAGAAAGAAACCAGTCAACAGTTACTTGTAATAAAAGCAGCACAAATAATCATATCTCACAGTAATGAACACATCTTGTGTGCTAAGCACTTGTCATGTAGGATCTGATTTCATGCTCAGCACAACTCTGTAAGATACATACTACATTATCATTACTCCCCTTTTACAGATAAGAAAACTGAGACTCAGAGGGGTGTTTTTACTCATTCATTCAAGAAATTTTGTGTGTGTGTCTACCATGAACCCAATACCACTCTAGCAGGGACCTTAAGACAGACAAAGTCCATGACTGTATATGGTGCATACATTCTGTGGGAGATAAATAACTCGCCCAAGTTCACCCAGCTTGTCATAGCAGTAGGCCCAGGATCCAAACTTGGCTACTCTGACTACAGACCCTATACTTTCAAACTCTCAATAAGCAAGCTGCCCGGGTGCAGCCACTGTCAATTATCACCATTACTAACACTAAAATACTGCATTTCCTCTATTTTAAGATGCATAGTTTTTTCACATTTTAATGTCTGCTTTTTATAATATATGTTGAAAGAAACCTGGGGGCTGTAGGCGAAGGGCTAAGTCATCGCATAGCTGCTATTGCTGTTCAACTGAGGATTTAGCTGAACACGGGTTATTTGATTACCGACTCAGTTGGGTTTTCTGCAAATGCAGTTGAATTTTAGCTTAAATTAAGATCCCTGATATTCCTTCAAATACATTCCAATAAGTTCACTATAATGCAATATTGAAAGAGAAAGCTACTGTGCATGCAAGATTGCCTATCACGTGCAATGTAATTAAAGGGAGTAGAAATCACCAAATCTCCTGGAACAGATCACAGAATTTTTAAAGCCTGAAGGGCTAGCATTCAACTGAGGAACATCTATTATTGAACATCTAACTTCTAGCATCATGTGATCAATTGAAGGGAAATAAAACTAGGGTTTTGCCAAAGAGAAAATGCAGGCTGAACCCCATGATACTTTGATAAGCCTCAAAATTCTCCTGCCAGCCTTGGAAGTACCACAGTGATCAAGATCATGAATAATCTACTTTCTGAAAAGCAATGCATACCTTGGAAGTTACACATAACTTCTCAGAACCAGATATAATACACAACTTCATTGATGTGAAAAACACCTACACTCCAAACCCTGATTATACAAAACAAGCAACTCATATGTAAGCAAATGAATAAATGAGGGCCACTATAGATACTTTTTAAGTGTATAGATTTAATGTCATGTTTATTTGTTTCTGGAAAGATGTAATTAATTCCATGGCTTATTTTACCATTATCAGTGGCAAAATTGATACCATTACCATTATCAGTGGTGCTCAAAACAGAGGATTTATGGTAATCATGATGACAACTGCCATTTATTGAGCACCTGCCAAACACTGTATTTGCTATTTTATACCCCTTATCTTACATGTAAGGAAGTCAAGGTTCAAAGTAACCAGTGACTTTTCAAGGTCATGCAGCCAGGAAGCATCAAGCCCAGCATGGAACCAGGTCTGCCTGAGTTCAAAGCCCAGGTGCTTTCCGGGGCACTACACTGCCTCTCCCTGCTAACCACCCACTTCCATCCCACCCTGGCACAGCACGTATAGTTAAGTCCTCACCTGAAGAAAGCTTACTATGATCCCAGAACAGATGGACCACCATGAATGCAACCCAAACACCCCCAAGATGATCCAAATCCTGCTGCTTTACAACTGCTTCCACTTTCTCAAACTGCACATGAGGACATGCACAAGCAGGCCCCACACACACCAACTGCCGACCATTCACACAGCCAATCAACTGACTAGTTGGCTCCTTCAGAGATTGTGCCAATTTGGTAGCACAAACCAGAGAAGACATTAAACAGGCTCAGCAGAAGGTAGGGAGTCCTCTCCATTGCTGAGGCCAGGGCAGGAAGGCGCCTTCGGCCTGGCCAGAGGCATTCTCTTCCCCTGAAGATGCTGTTCCATATCAGTTAATGAAAGCAGAGGCCTCCCTGAGCCTAAGGAGAGTGTAGCTTATTGTGCCAGTCACCTTCTGGGGACCCCTCTGAAGCCTCAGGGCAGCCCACAGTGCCAATAAACAACTGCTTTGCTTCCTGATCAAAATTCTGCAGGATGACAGGCAGGGGCTTGTGAATTTCACTCCATTCTCTGCACATGTGCCTTTGGACACAGTCTAATCTCCAATATAAAATCCTTTCCAAGGGCTTTTCCTTAAATATTCCCTCGGGAAATAACCTCAAGCTTGGGCACTAAGAATAGACTAGGACAATTCAAGAAACACTTACTGAGCATCCTTGAAGATACAGGGATGAATAAGATGTGGTCCCTACCATCAGGGAACTCACAGTTGAGTGAAGGAGGTAAGACCAGCTCAGAACTCACTACAATAAAAAGCAACACAAGGTGAATGTTATCCTGGAACACAGAGGAGAAAAGACTTAATTCCCGATGTAAGATCAATAATAAACTCAGCTAACACTCACTGATGGAGCACCTAGTAGGTACCAGCTATCATACCAGGCATTGTACAAACCTTATCCCATTTAATTCCCACAACCACCCATGGAATATGTGCTATTAGTATACTCACTTTATAAATGAGGAAACAGATGGAGAAGCAAAGTATCTTGCCCAAGGTCACACAACTAATGTGTAAATACCAGAGATGAGATCTGGATCCTGCTGGCCCACACCAAAGCTCATGTTATTTTCAGTTCAGTAGACAGACTACATCTCCTGGAGTAAAGAATTCTTCCTGGGGCCGGCCGAGTAGCTCAGTTGGTTAAGAGTTGGCTTAAGAGCGCGAGCTCTGAACAACAGGGCTACCGGTTCAATTCCCACATGGGCCAGTGACGCTGCGCCTGAGCTGAGCTGTTGCTGAGCTGCCAACAGGTGGCAGGATGGCTCAGCTGGTGTAACAACAAGATTGCCTGTTTGATGGTGGGCTACGCCCACCCACAACTAAGACTGAACTCTGCACCTTGAGCTGAGCTGCTGCCAGGATGGCTCAGTGGATAGGGCGTGAGCTCTTAACAACAAGGCTGCTGGTTTGACTACTGCATGGGATGGTGGCTACACCCACCCGCAACTAAGATTGAACACAGCACCCTGAGCTTAGAGGCCACAAACTGCCGACAGGAAGCCGGATGGCGACTGACGCCCTCCACAACGAAGATTGAAGAACAACAACTTGGCTGGTCCCCTTCCCCAATTCTCCAACACTGTTCCCCTCCCCCAATTCCCCAATAAAATCTTAAAAAAAAGAATTCTTCTTCCTGGTAATAGCAGAATCTGAACTGCTTTGGAATTTAACCAGGTGAAGATGGAAAGGAGAATAATCCAATCAGAGGGTCACTGGTAGAGAATGCCTAAAGTAGGACAGATCAGCAGTCACAGGTCAGCTAAGGCAGTGGGCAGACATCAAGCTTTCAGCACAAAGGAAGAGGTATGTGATCAGTGAGTTATGGGACTGGGTGTCAAGTGCCCTGGGTTCTAGTCCTGGTACAGCCACGGACTGTCTGTGTGACCTTCAGCAGGTTTTATCTCCTCTCTGTGCTTCAACGTCATCATCAGTAAGAGTTCCAATCCCCCTATCGGAACAAATGTTCCCAAAAGGTCTGCTCTGGCTTAAATGCTCCATGATACTCACAAGTGGCCACGTGGGACAGTGGTTAAGGCCAGGTGACAGGTAGCCCCCAGCTCTGCAGTGACCAGCTGAGTGACCTTGGATAAGCTAATTAACTCCTAAGTCTCACTTTTCCTCATCTGTAATGTGGGGACAAGAGCAAAGCCTGGTTCACAAGGCTGTGGTGAAGGTTCAGTGAACTATAGAACAAAAACCACTTAGCAGAGTGCTTGGCAAATTGTAAACATCCAGTAAACAGAGGCATCATTATTTCTTCTTTAAAGGGTCTAGAAAGTGAATGTTAGTGGTCAAGGGTCAGAAGGCTGTTTTTGTTTGTTTTTGTTTTTTTATTTAAAAGGACAAAAAAATAAGCTCTCTTGTTTTTTCTCTGAAAATGAGAAAAGGCCTCCCACCAGGAGGCTCCTGTTTCACCAAAGGGCCATGCCGTACCTACCTTCTCTTCTGAAGAAACCGTCAGCTTGTCACTAGATATCAAGCTGCACACCTGGTCCAGACTTAGGCTAAGAAATTCTTCCCCCAGCATCACCTCTGGAAAGTGCTGCTCTGTTCAAAACAAAAAGCAGAAGTTCAGAGAACCAAGTTTCAAAACACACCTGCCCTTCCGAGAATCAAGGCCATGACAATCTGTGAGTGGGGTCCTTCAGGTTTGGAGGGGAGGTGGGAAGCAGAGGGAGAGGCAGAGAGAAAGACAGCACATCCTGGCTGGAGGAGAACCAGCCTTTTAAGTCAACAGCAAAGGCATCCTCCCCGCAACCCTACACCCCGTGTGATCCAATCCTGAACATCAACACAGGTGAAAACGGGGCAGCAAGAGATGTGAGGTTGTATTTTGTCCTGCTCCGTGAGATTAATCTGGCCCTGCAGAAAAGTCTCGCTGGGACCTGCCTACTTAATTGAGTTCATTTCCCCTCAAAGCGCAAGCTGGCGGATTGCAGACAGTGGCCCCTGCAGTTCAGCCAAATAAAAGTGGGTCAGAACAGTTACGAGGCTGGAAGTCTCTGGAGGTTCTGGTAGAAAGTCAACATTAGAAGGCTAGCAGAGGGCGTCATCCCTCCTTGTCCAAAGTCGAATCGACGACAGCGAGTCCCAGTTCACAAGGAAGCCCAGCTAAGCACTCGTCCAGGTGTGGTGGCAACACAGCTGGCCCCGCCACCACTGGGAACAATCCATGACAGCTAGCCAACAGAGGCCATTAAAATGGAGGAAGCTAGAAGGAGACAAAGCTGACAGGTCTGAGGTTCACACAAGGGAAATGCCACAGACAATTCATACCCTGACATTTGCCCAGGCCACCATCCTGCTATTACAGAGGCCGTGAAATGTCAGTGAATGAGCAAGCACCTCAGAAAGGAGGAGCCTAGACTCAAATTCTGGCTTTGCCATGTGCAAGCTGTTCTGTGAGCCAATGGCATCACCTCCCTGGGCCTCACTATCCTCATCTGTGAAATGGGGATAAAAGCGCTTGTCTTGCCTCCCTCCTATGCTCGGATAGGAACGGAACTGTGGAAGTGTTTTGCAAGCTATGTCAGGATGAACTGGCCCAAATGCTGACAATTCCTGGTGCAGCAGGTCCTGGAGGTGACAGGATCCTTTGTCATTTGGCCCAGGCCTTTCTCAGTTCTCTCACAATCTCACATCATCCCCTTAAGGAGCATCTGTGCTCCTTGCCCTCCAGGCTCCAGGACTCCTCACTTCCTTCTTTGGTGGTCCCCCTCGGGCCTGGTAGCTTCCTGAATAATTCTAGAGGGCTATACCTCCCAGGTCCACGGAGGGTTAACCCGACTTGGTCTGGTCAGCCTCTGGGCGGCTGCTGAAATATCAACTCTGCTGTAGTTATATAATGAAAAGGAAAAGCAGAGCATGCTAAGCCTCTCTCTCACCTTCATCAGCCTCTTAAAAACCAAAGAAGATTTAAATCATTTCTTACAAAAAAATCACTCTTAACTTTCATGTTGAAATAATTCAGACCCAAAGAATTCCCCTATGCCCTTCATCCAGATTCCCTAAATGTTAATTTTCTACTCTTAACGATTAAGTTATAAACAATCTTTTCCATTTTCACTAGACAAAAAGGGCTCCCACGTACTCCCCACCAGCTCAATAATATCACTGAGCCCACAGTTAATTTAACGCTTGTCCACCGTGAGGCTCAGGAATGTTTGTACACAACAAAACAAATTTAAATGCCAGATCCTTTTTTGTTTTGTATACCTGAAACTAATAATAAAATTAAGTTTTGAAAAAGTGTCAGATCCTTTCTGAAGGGAAGCAACTGTCATAAAGTAAGAAGCTGGTCTTGCTTCTCTATATGTCAACAGAAAAAAGCCTTTAGTTAAAGCTTAGATTTTAGGTGAGACATGCAGAAGACCTCCATAACTATGGAACTGTTTAAGACTATAGACAGTATTATTTTTAAAGTGTTCATTCTCAAAGATTTTTAAAGAAAATGAACAATCTTCTCTGGGTGATGAGAAGTCATTCCTGGCCTGGAGGCTTAACAGGGTTCTCCCTACATGCCTTTTCTAGTCCAAAAAGTCTTTGGGCCCGAGTCCTCCTTCTGATGGCCACACCCAAGACACAGCAGAGAGAGAAGGCAGGCAGCACAGCACAGCGCCCACCGCGGGGGCCCGCCGAGGCCATGCTGCACAGGAGAGGCAGGTGAACCAGCGCCGGCATTCCTGTGGTCCAGAGTCACACCCAACCTTTCCGCCATTACCCTTGGTTGACCAAAAACCTAACATTTGGAGGAAGGAAAAGAGTGAAGAAAACGGGAAGTGAGAAAATAAAATGCTGGGGCTGTGGAAAATACTTCCTCACAGCTCATGAAACTAAAAGTCGAATGGCTTGGATATTGAAAAGGAAGAAAACGAAAGCATGGTGACACATATTCTAGGTGACTTGATGAACAAACTAGAAATTCTCAACGATAAATCCAGGCAGAGAGTAGTCAGCTCCCCTCAACACTTCCCCATCTCTCAGGATTTGAATCTAGGTCCCGTCTTTCTGATGTGGGCTGCTGCTCTGCCCATTTGGAACCTCCCACTGATGGCCCTTCAGAAAGCCTCCCAGGAAGCAGTGTCTGGCAGGTGGGAACAACCAGGGATTTAGTGGGCAGCAGCTTCTCACGCAGGGCTGGCACCTCAGGACCCAGGAGATTTGCAGGGCAGGAACAGAAGCAACAAGGAGAGGGTGCAAAGAGGAAAACTCCTTCCCTTCAGTCTGAGAGGACAGGGCTGAGCCCCCAGTGTCTTTTTTCTGTCAAACACTCTCAAGAAACAAGGAGGTAGAAACAGCAGGAAGAAGATGCTCTGGCCAGCTGCATTTCCTGGGGAACAGGGATTCCCCAGAAGACTTTATACACGAATCAGCCCTCTTCCCAGCCACTTCCCGCAAAGAACCCACTCTGCTCCCAGAAGACACCTCCCTCAGAATCAGCTTCTACCTTAAATGCTGGTTGGTTGGTTGGTTGGTTGGTTGGTTGGTTGGTTGGTTGGTTGGTTGATTGGTTGGTTGGTTGGTTGGTTGGTTGGTTGGTTGGTTGGTTGGTTGGGGGATTTGTTTGTTTGTTTGTTTTGCTTTGTTGTTAATGTATTCAAGGAGAACGTAGTGAAGAGCTTTGGCTAAGAGTCAGAGACCTGGGTTCCAGTCCTAGCTCCACCTCTTACCGTCACTTTTTTCCAGGCTCTGGCTTCATCACCCGTAAAATGGGACCATAATATCTGACCTAGGTCTCAAGGTTGTTTTGAAGCTTGAAGACAATAATAAGAGTTCATTTTAAGATCTTTGAAAACCTCTTTAGAAATGAAAGACGAATACTATCAGCCCACATTCCTGCTTCACAAAGTTCAGTTCTGTGGGCAGCAGCACTCTCCAACAGAGCTTTTCACAGCATCAGAGACATCGTTTGGGACTGCAGGTCCTGTGGGCAAGGCTGCAGACCTCAAAGGGCTTAGAAATTCACTTTAATTCCATGGAGCTCAGCAAACTCTTTCGGGCTATGTTATTTCATCTCTTAAGGCTGCAGTTTTGTCATCTATTAAACAGGGCTAATGATAAAACCAGCGCATATGGTGTATGGGCATTAAATGAGCAAATGCAGGGAACACACTTACTGAGGCCGCTGCAGGTGCTCAATAACTGTTAATGTAGGATGTGCGAAATGCAGTGTTTCTCCAAAAAGAAGAAAGCAGAGCTGATGCCTCAAGGAGCCTGCTGGCTTATGAGAGGGATGAGACAAGGCCCTAATAACTCCAACCCCAAGTCCACAGGGCCATGACTGGGAAACAACACTTCAGAGAGAAATACAAGGAAAACAGAAATAGAAGCAGGAAAAGTTAAGAGAGTGTGCAGAGAACAGCAATAGCTCAGTTTAGCGAGAGCCTAGGCTATGTCTTCATTCATCTAACAACTGTTTACTGAACGCCCACTAAGTATGGGGAACTATGCCAGGCTCCAGGAGATGCAATAGAGAGGGCAGGCAAGGCTAGATGCTGGGGGGTGGGTGGGGTGTGCAGGGAGCCTAGTATCTTCTAACCATGGGCTAGCCCCTGGAAGGGGAACTCTCCAATAATAAACTCCAACATTTTTGTCCTTTTGCTTCTTTTTCCTTAAAAAGAAGTGGAAGCAGGAGGAGGGGGACGGGGGAAGGAGTCAATTAAGAGTTCTGGTTAAGAGTTCTAATTAACCAGGCTTTACTATAAGTAACAAACACTGTTTAAGCTCCAAGATTTGTTTCAAGAAACACAATGTGTCTGTTCCCGTCCCTTTGGTTGAGAAATTATGGAGAAGGGGAGGGGCATCAGTGGCTTCAGATCCTTTCCCCACACCAAGCAACACATAACTTCCTAACATTGAAAGGAGGAGAAAATTTGGATGGCACATTTCCCAGGATAGGGCTTACTCTAGGGGCAGAGTTGGGTCTTTTCAAGGAAGCAGGCCTAGGAAACGTTGAGAGTATTTCCTAATAGCAGATTAACACTATACTAGGCATTTTACATGGATTGCTTCTCCCAAAAGTCCTGCTGAAGTGAATATCAATATCCCCATTTTACAGATGGAGAAATGGAAGCTCAGAAAGCTATTTAATCATGTATTTAGGGTCACACAGCAGGAAGTGGTCAGCCCAGGTCCTGAAACCAAGGCTGTCTGATTACAGTAACAAGCCTTCTGATGGAAGTCTTAGTCCAAAGATGATGATAATAACTTGTCCTAAGCAGGAACTGGGGTAAAATTCAATATAGATATCAGAGCACCCTGAGAATCCCTCTTAGGGGTGCTATACAGAGACAAAAAAAAATATGAATCTAATGACCTTTCTCAAAAAAAAAAAATCTTAGAACAGTGGCGTTCTAAACACTTTAGAATCAGTCCTATATGTTCAAATCTCAGGCGTAACCTCTGAATTGAGATCTTTCCCTAATTCCCCTGCCTACCAGGCTAGGTGAAGTGATACCCTTCTATGTTCCCAAAGCCCCCAAAACGGGAAATAAAAATGATCATAGCCCTTGTGGACCTGTTTTATCATGTGAGGTGTTCCTCGCCTA